AGGAGGGCAAAGAAGAGAGAATCTCCTGAGCCTGGTTCTGGAGTAAATGGTGCTAAAGGGCACGGCAGTCTCCTTGTGCAGCCAGGTCCTGCTCCCACTCTCCCACAGACCTCTGGGAGGGTAAAACCTTGAATGGGGAGGACCATGTGCTCAGGGAGGTGAGCAAAGGCACTGCTATTTGGGAGCCTTGGCAGAAGTCTCCATGCCCCAGCTAGGCTTAGAGAAAAGGTCCTAGAATAGGCAATTGTTCTGGGCAAAGAGCTCCAAGGGTGGCAGGCACTGATTAGAGAGTTTCCCCAAATACCTATAAGCCCCTGAAAAAGGACCAAGGTTGGATTTTCTACCCACTGGTGGATGGAAGCCAAGGATATTTAATCTAGAAAACTAAAGAAATGTGATATTTCCATGATCCACATGTTGTGGGACAAAACTTTACCTATTAACAGTATTTAACACCAGCCTCACCCCTTCCTTTAAAGTATTTAGGTTTCTTGGCTCAAAGAAACCTCCAATTTGATTTCTTAACCTGCCTCTCAGGAGTTCAAAGCTGGAAGTGTTCCAGGATATGTGTGTTTGGGTGTGCATGCTGCTCTATGAACATGACTATTCCAGTCCCTCCCTTACCAATTCAATGGGAGCCTGAGTCAAAGGTAGACTTAGCCAAGGACATCCCCTGGAAGTGGGAGGAAAGGTTGCTGGGCAGAGTGGCACACAAGATTGGGACTGGGACTCCCCAAGCGCAGCTGTGAAACCCATCTGCAAGTCTGCACTTCCCCCAGGTGGCCATACTAGAGCTCTGCCCCCTACTTGGTTTGGGGAGAAGAATATCTGAGATGTGTGTGTCTCTTCCAGCTGGAGCTCTTTGGAGACCCAGTAGTGTGGAGACAAGAGGAGAAGCCAAGATCTGTAATCACCAAATCGAGCACTGAAATGTCTAAGAATGTCTTTTTGCAATGTCACTATGTAATTTTGGCATAAATATATTCAGAAAAATTAATTCAGTTCACTAGCTAAAATGCTCAGGGATTTGGAGCACGAGAACATCAGGTAATTGAGGTTTAGTTAAAACAATTTTTCCGGGATCCCTGGATGGCGCAGCCTTTGGCCCAGGGCGCGATCCCGGAGACCCGGAATCGAATCCCACGTCGGGCTCCCGGTGCATGGAGCCTGCTTCTCCCTCTGCCTGTGTCTCTGCCTCTCTCTCTCTGTGACTATCATAAATAAAAATAAAAAAATAGTTCTTTAAAAAAATAAAAAACAATTTTTCCGTTTCTATTATCAAAGACATTTTTTAAACCTAAGAATACTTTTCTGACATTCAATCATTCATACAATTAGGGACTTAGTTTATGTCATGCACTATACTAGAAATGGAGGATATAAAGATGTCTCTGTCTGCAAAGAGCTTACAGTTCAGGATAACAGACACATAAGTATAGTGTAATTATAATAAATTATAAATAACGTTAATGAATGAGATGCATGTAGAGATATATATAAGATATGTAAGCACCTAATGGGCCAGGGAGTGGGAGGGCTTCCTTCCTAGAAGAAGTGATGTCTGAGCTGAATTGTAAATGAATAGTATCTATGTAGGGGCAGGAGGTTGACAACAGAAGGAGACCCCATTTGAGACAGAAAGGCCAGCAATAGCAAAGATGATGATGAGATGCCCATTCCAAAGATGATGATTAGATTCCCTTACCTTTGTAGGGACAGGAGGGACTCTAAGGTCAGAGGAAGCAGACAGGGAGGGCCTTACACATTTTAGATCAAGGAGCCTGGATCATATCCTGTAGAGTTGCTGAAGGTTTCAAATGGAGGATACATATGGTCAGATTTAATTTTACAAATCCACTAGCAGAAGTGTGGAGGGGAGATTGGCATAACACATCTGGAGACAAGGAGAACAGAGAAAAGACTCTAACTTAAAGCAGAATCATAGAGGGGAAAGAAAAATAAGCACCTGAATTAGTGAGTTTAGGGAAGAAACAACAGATCTAAGGGCCTTGGATGGAAGTGGGTGAAGCAAAGGAAAAATCAAGAAACGCTCTCCAGTGTCTAGCTCAGGTGACTGTGTGGCTGACAGTATTACCAATTAGATGCTAAATTCCAGAGGAAGAGCAGGGTTTAGTGAGGAAGGAGGTGAGTTCTGTTTGCTCTAATGTATCTCTGGGATACACAGAAATAGAGATATGTAGGAATCTGTTCAAAATAAAAGCTAACATTTTGGGGAGAGATATAAACTAGACATGCAGATTTTGGGTGTTACTTACATATAGACCATAATTAAAACCAGGGGAACAGATGAAACTGCCCAAGGAGAACAGGAATAAAGAAAAGGACAGAGATTCAAGGACTAAACTTTGGAATGGGCAGGGAAACCTTTGGTAGAATTGTCTTATATATTTTTCTGGGGCTTTGGAGTTTACCAACTGCTTTCATATCTATACCTTACTCAGTTCTCATCTGGGGAGTTCTGTAAAGCACCTGGTAAAGTCAGGGGTGATTGTGATGATGCAAGGGTGCAACAGATTCAATCCATTGGATGGGCACAATGTGGCACCCAGCACTTCCCCCTGACACGGTGTCACAGAGGAAATTCCCAGCTATTGACTCGAAGCTCTGGGTTAACATGACGAATGGAATCCTAAAGGGACTTGAAACTCTTGCCTAGACTCCTGGTTAAAAGCAGAGCTGGCCTGTGACTCTGAGTTAGACAGGCTGTGGAGAGACAGTGGCAAAGCTGACAGAAGCTCTGCAGGTAGCTTGTCTGTAGAAGCAGAGGTAGACAAGGTAGCTTGTCTGTAGAAGCAGGGGTAGCCCCAGAAAAATGGACCAGACAATTCTACCAAAGGTTTCCCTGCCTATTCCAGAGGTAGTCTCTCTGCTTCTGTGTGTCTCAAAGGCAGCAGTCTACCAGCCTCAGCTGAGGAAGGGCTGCAGGCTAGGAGGAGGAGAAAATTTATATCATATCAGTTCATTTGTCACAAAAAGAATATAATCCTAGAAAAAAAATGAACAAAGCAGTGTCATTAAGCTCTAAATAGCTACTGTTGCCAGATTAAAAAAAAACTTCAGGCCTGAGGTCTATTTTTTTTGGTTGAAAAGGAGATTAGTAAGTGTTGGATTATGTTCATGACCTATTAGGCCCAAATGAGAATTTCTTCCACAGGTAATCTAGGCTTGAAAGAGGACTGCAAGGGAATTATTTTCTCATGATGTAATTCTTTGTTATTTTATGCTTGTCCATTTACCACCTAAAGTCAGTGTCATCTCATGTACTATCACCGGTATATGCCCTAAACTTTTGGGAACCAAAGTTTTGATGTATGATAGTAAATCAGCCATAGGATGTGGGAGCTAAAACTGGGACTACTAGATACTAGATGTAAATCAACAAAACCAAGAAGAGAATTTTCAAAGGCCAATTTCACTTCCTTTACAAGTGTAAACACTTTTACATTTTGTAAATTTTGCTGAAGATTTCTCTTTTTGCATCCTCTCTGGCACCTAGGATAGGACGGCATACATAATAGATGCTCAATAAATACCTGGAGCTGGCTGACTGAATAAAATGGTATTAGAACAAAGTGTTATTATTAGAACAAATCATGCAAATATGACCCTAGGAACCCAAGAGGAAGACAGGTTTTCCAAAAGGTACTTCCTTTATCTCCCACCTCCAACCGATCCAGGCTCAACCTAAAGTGTAGGCAAAGTATGGAAATGCCATAAACCAGCAAAGTAGAATCAGTTCTAAGGATTGAACCTTGAAAAGAATAATGCTTTCTCCTCTTTTGAATCTGGAGATCTGGCTTTTGAGAAATAACTTTCTTTACTCTTGCAATGGTCCTGTCCCATTTTCAAGTGGTGAAACAACTTGAGTTAGTTCCCTCCTAATAAAGTGTTCCAGGTGTGCCTTGTATTTAAATAATCAAGGATCACTTCTTATCTGCCATAGGGACTGGTACTCTAAGTTTGTATCCATTCAAATATATTTTCTTGATTTTGCACAGATAACATGAGTGATAGATAAAATCTGTAACTAATATTTATAAAATACAATATCTGAGTCTCTCAGGGCACTTGGGTGGCTAAGTAGTTGAGCCTCTGTCTTGGCTCAGGTCATGATCCTGGGGTCCTGGGATCGAGTTTTGCATCAGGCTGCCTATGGGGAGCCTACTTCTCCCTCTACCTATATCTCTGCCTCTCTGTAAGTACATAAAATCTGCCTCTCTGTAAGTACATAAAATCTTTCAAAAAAAATCTGAGTCTCTCAAAGTCAGTTTAGGAAATTCAAGGCTATCCTAAGAGAAAGGTAAAAACACCATCATTAGACACTCAGCCTTGCAGAGATGAAAATGACAAACCTTACATACTTTGTCCTAGTCTGGAGCAGGGAATTTACTTTTCTTTTGAGAAGGGCCTTTAGATGCCAAAGGAAAACAAAGATTGAAAACAAACTCCTCTCTGAAAGGATATAAGTCAGCTATGGAAAAGATTTCAGAATTTCAGAAATCTTCTACCAATGAATCTTTCTGCCCACCCTAGTTTAGTGCTGAGACTCTATGCCTAGATTCTAACAAAGAACAAATGTCTGTGGCTATAATTATTTATTTGACTCCCCTTCTAATTGTGGATCATCAATGGCAACATTTAAATAAGCAATTGATTCCTCTTTGTTCCCTTCATTCATTAATCAGTGCATTTCCAAAGACTACACATTTTGCTTTTCAATCCAAGCTAAACATAATGAGGAAGTTTACTGCTGCCAAATGCCACCCCAAATCTCAAAGTTAGATATAAAGGATTTGGGGGTTGTCTATTGTTTTAGAGAATTTCTGCCAAGCTCCTTGTAGAAAAATAAGTTGACCTCATTAGTAAATCATGTCATCACCATTGGTCCATTTTCTTTCCGATTTTAGTGATGATATCCTTCTATTAGCAGAAGAGAGTTAAACTGTCCAATTCCTGAAGCAATTCTCCTTTGGACTTACCTGTGAAAATTGCTGAGTTGGAAGGGTCTGTGAAATCAGAGACCAAGCTTTGGTTTGGTGACTTTGGTAGCTTGACCAAAGTTATCCCTTGCCTTCCCACTCCTTTTTATGCAACACTGGGCTGTTAATAACCTCAAGCTGTGGCGCCACCCCTCAGACTACTTTATCTGGCCTCCCAGATCTACAGCACTTTTAAGGCTAAAGGGCCTCTAAATTCTCCTGCTCCTTGGCCTCCTCTGACTCAAGGATCTCTACCTCCCAGAGTGCTACAACTCAGCAGGAGTTTCCCTGGTGTGACTTATTTTGCTTTAAGGCTACTTTTCTTTTCTTTTTTAATTTTTTTAATTTATTCATAGAGATGCAGAGAGAGAGAGAGAGAGAGAGAGAGAGGCAGAGACACAGGCAGAGGGAGAAGCAGGCTCCATGCAGAGAGCCTGACGTGGGACTCGATCCTGGGTCTCCAGGATCACGCCCTGGGCTGCAGGCGGCGCTAAACCGCTGCGCCACCGGTGCTGCCCTTTAAGGCTACTTTTCTATCACATTTATAATATGGAAGCAGCTTGAAATTAAAATGCACAAAACTTAATTTTGGACACCAAAAGGATTTGGTGCAGTTGAATTCCAGGCATTGTCTGGGTCTCCCTGGAGTTAAGTCTGCTATGTAGGGGCCTCCTGTTCATGGCTTCGGAGCAGTTTGATAATTTGAAACATCTCTTAGCCATGACAGATCTCTGGTACAGCCAGAATTCAACAGATTCCTCCTTTCCTTTCCTTTCCTTTCCTTTCCTTTCCTTTCCTTTCCTTTCCTTTCCTTTCCTTTCCTTTCCTTTCCTTTCCTTTCCTTTCCTTTCCTTTCCCTTTCCTTTCCTTCCGCTCTATTTCTTCCTTTCAAGCTTTGTGCCCAACATAAGGCTTCAACTCACAACTTTGAGATCAAGAGTTGCACGCTCTACTGACTGAGCCAGCCAGGCGCCACCAACAGGTATGTATGTATGTATGTATGTATTATGTATGTATTTATGATAGTAACACACACACACAGAGAGAGAGAGAGAGAGGAAGAGAGAGAGAGAGAGGCAGAGACATAGGCAGAGGGAGAAGCAGGCTCCATGTACCAGGAGCCCGACGTGGGATTTGATCCTGGGTCTCCAGGATCGCGCCCTGGGCCAAACGCAGGCGCCAAACCACTGCGCCACCCAGGGATCCCTCTTTTTTTTTTTTAAATTGGAGTTCAATTTGCCAACATTTAGCATGAATACCCAGTGCTCATCCCGCCAAGTGCCCCCCTTAGGGCCCATCACCCAGTCACCCCAACTCCCCACCCACCTCCTTTTTTCACTACCCCTTGTTCATTTCCCAGAGTTAGGTGTCTCTCATGTTTTGTCACCCTCATTGATATTTTCACTTTTCCTCTTCCCTTTATTCCCTTTCACTAATTTTTATATTCCCCAAATGAATGAGACCATATGTTTGTCCTTTTCCGATTGACTTATTTCACTCAGCATAATACCCTCCAGTTCCATCCACATCGAAGCAAATGGTGGGTATTTGTCATTTTAAAAAAAATTTATTTATTTATGATAGTCACACACACACAGAGAGAGAGAGAGAGAGGCAGAGACACAGGCAGAAGGAGAAGCAGGCTCCATGCACCGGGAGCCCGACGTGGGATTCGATCCCGGGTCTCCAGGATCGCTCCCTGGGCCAAAGGCAGGCGCCAAACCGCCGCGCCACCCAGGGATCCCCATATTTGTCATTTCTAATGGCTGAGTAATATTCCATTGTATACATAGACCACATCTTCTTTATCCATTCATCTTTTGATGGACACCGAGGCTCCTTCCACAGTTTGGCTATTGTGGACATTGATGCTATAAACATCGGGGTGCAGGTGTCCCAGCGTTTCACTGCATCTGTATCTTTGGGGTAAATCCCCAGCAGTGCAATTGCTGGGTCGTAGGGCAGATCTATTTTTAACTCTTTGAAGAATCTCCACACAGTTTTCCAGACCAACAGATTTCTTAACTAGGATTTCATCAGTACCATTTCATCAGTGCCATATGGGCTTTCAAATCACTTAAACTCTGTGAGCCTCAGTTTTCCCTCTATTCAAAAATTTACATTTAAAAAATAGGGCCAGTAAATCTACATCATACATAAAGAATAAATGATATAGCTATAGAAAGTAATTAGCATGGCCGCACCTGGGTGGTTAAATCGGTTAAGTGGCTGCCTTCAGCTCAGCTCATGATCCTGGGGTCCTGGGAATGAGTCCTGCATTGGGCTCCCTGATCAACAGAGAGCTTGCTTCTCCATCTCCCTCTGCCTGCCACTCTGCCTGCTTCTTGTGCTCTCTCTCTCATTCTGTCAAACAAAATATTTTTAAAAAATTAGCACAGAGCATGATGCACATAAAAGAATTTTCTTCCCTCTGTAAGTTACCTTCTTTCTACTAACTTGTATAGTCCTCCCTTTGGACTTGAAAGCTGTCCAGACAGCATTCTGGAGTTTACAGTGTCATTTCCTTCACCAGCCAAGGAGCTCTCTAGCTCCTCTGGTGAAAGATATTCCAGGGAGACTTTTGCCCTCTAAGGACAAATGAGATAAATAAGCATGCTAAAGCTTTCTATCTTCTATCCTTGAGCACATACGACTATGGGAGACCTTTACTAAGCAATGCATCTCCAATTTAATTTCCATTTCCATTTCACAGAATTTTATTATTGGAAGAGCTCTTTGAGATAATTTAATATATAATATATATTTTATTTTACATATTAAACTATATATAATTTAATATATATAATATATATATTTCATTTTACATATTTAAAAAAAACCTTTAACCCAGAGCAATTAAGTGATTCATTCAGCTAGTTAGTGGCAGAACTGTGAACTATATACTTGGTTAATCAATTTTTATGTGGACATGTGTTTTCATTTCTCTTGGTACAATTGCTGGTTCATATGGTAACTCTATATTTAACATTTTGAGAAGCTGCCAAACTTTTCCAAAGTAGTTATACCCTTTCTTTATTCTGGCACCCTGGGGTCACAAGGAAATTATGGCTCATAAACCAGTACTGTGGATAGGAAATAGATACTGGAGAGAAACTACTTCTCCAAGCATGCACTACATTAGCCATGTGTTTCAAATTCATACTATCTATGTAGTTCAGGAATGTTGAACTGAGAAATTAACATTAAAGTGGGTTTAGAACTGATGAAGTCCAGAGGTGTCCAGGGACAGGGTAAATCTAAAAGTCTATACTTTGACAAACTAATTTAGAAGTGAAAGTGAAATAAACATATTTAAAGACCTACAGAGACTTAGAACATTTACCACCAAAATACTCTTACTGAAAGAACTATTAAGGAATGTACTCAAACCAGAATAAAGGAACCAAAAAGGAAATAGGGGAGTGCAAGAAGCAATGGTGAAAAAAAGTTGTTAAAGATGATACATCATGCTAGCTTATAGGATTAGCATACCCTTTAAGGTAAAAAAACAAAGACAGTAAAAGAAGAAGAAAAAATTACAAGCTAATCTTATCCATGAACATAGGTGCAAAAATCCCAAATAAAATATAAACAAATAAAATTCAATTTCATGATCAAGAAGGATATTACCACAGGAATGGTTCCACATTAGAAACTTTATGTGTCAGTGGGGGATGGACTAGATATACGTTGGATATTAAAGAGGGCACTTGTGATGAGTACTAGGTGTTATATGTAAGTGACGAATCACTGAATTCTACTGCAGAAACCAATATTGCGCTCTGTGTTAACTAAAATTTAAATTAAAAAAGAAAATTTATTAATGTAATTTAAAACTATATAATCGGGATCCCTGGGTGGTGCAGCGGTTTAGCGCCTGCCTTTGGCCCAGGGCGCAATCCTGGAGACCCGGGATTGAATCCCATGTCGGGCTCCTGGTGCATGGAGCCTGCTTCTCCCTCTGCCTATGTCTCTGCCTCTCTTCTCTCTCTCTCTCTCTCTCTCTCTCTCACTATCATAAATAAATAAAAATTAAAAAAAATAAAAAAATAAAACTATATAATCATCTCAATATGTATCAAAAAGTTAAAGAGAACTCAACACTCATTCATGATTTTGCTCTACCTGTATTCATGATTTTTACTCCTTTATATATCACTTTTTCCTGTCCCCCTCCACAGAGAAAACCCTATAACAAAAATCTTATTAGGCAGGGATCCGTCTAAAGAGTCTGGGTACATGTTTTTTGCAAAAGAAGAGAAGCTATTAGGATATATTTCATGCTGTTTTCAGCTCTGATTAAAGTCTCCACAGAGAGTCTCCAGAAGATCAGATACATTGTTTTGAATTTAAGTAGTTATTGCCCAACATCACAAACTTTCCTTGCTCTCTTCTAGCCTCCTGCCCACCTAATTTGCAGCAGATGACTTTGCCTCCTACTTTTAAGACCAAAACAGAACCCTCAGTAGTAAACTCCCCTAACTTCTATTTCTTCTGCTTCTCCTTTCTTTCAACCTAGGAGTCCCTCCCCCTGCTCAAGACCTACTCTTCCACTAGACCTCTTGGCCCCATCCTTTCTCTCTCTTCTATTCTTACCTTCTGTCTGGAAATAAGACACTTGGCTAAGCTCTTCAGTCTGTCTTTTCTATTGTTCTTTTCTCCACCACTCCCCTTTCTTTTCTTTTTTTGAGATTTATTTATTTGAAAGAGAGAGAGTATGAGAGAGCATGAGTGTGGATGGGGTAGGGAGGCAGAGGGCAGAGGGAGAGAGAGAATCTCAAGCAGACTCCATGAGTATGGAGCCTGACCCTCATTGCAGAGCTCAATCTCATGACCCTGAGATCATGACCTAAGCCCAAATCAAGAGTTGGAGGGAGGCTCAACCCACTCAGGCACCCTGATTCCTTGGTATCTTTGCAGCATGTGGCATTGCTGACCTCTCTCTTCCCAAAGCATGATTCTGCTTGGGTTTCTATGACATCTTCCCTTTCCTTTTTTTTTTTTTTAAGATTTTATTTATTTATTCATGAGAGACAGAGAGAGGAGAGAGGCAGAGACACAGGCAGAGGGAGAAGCAGGCTCCAA